GTTTAAGAACGAGTTCCGTTCCCAAGGTCTGTCCTTAAGTCGAATTTATACGTAAGCCAGAACAGTATTATTGTATAATATTGTATAAGTAGTATTGTGTAATTAACTCGAACCATCGTGTATTTAACTTGAATTTTGCTACAATAGGCTCCGTTCCTAACTATGTGCCATCTGTAAACTGGGCTTTCTTAACCTGGGGACTACCTGTATTGATTTACTAGTTTAGTCTAGAATAATACAATACAAGTTATACATTGTATACAAGTTATACATAATACAATGCTAGCTCTTGCTTATCTTTCTAAAAGCTAAGAATTTTGTCATATAGTTTGCATAAGTAGCTCAAACACTGCCCATTTTTAAGTCTTCCAATATAAACTTGCACATCACGAAACAGCTAATTTAACCCTAACTGCACATTATTCTAAGCTGTGGCTTAACCATGGTTTATGAAACAGGTTACAATTGGTTGGGATCATATAAAACATTTGTCATGAAATATAATTTGCAAAATTCAATAGCTGGCTTCATACATTTTGTGAAGTCAAACCCAAATAAACCAAATTATAGCATGATTATGTATACCTAACCTTAATTCTATCTTTATTTATTTATAGTCCCAATAGATCCTTTTCATAGAACCAGAGGATGAGAATGCAAATTTATTTATGTATTTATTTGTCACATTTATATAGCCACCCAACTCACACAAGCACCAAAGACTAAGATTTCACTTGCCAACTAGCAGAGAGGATAACAGCTTTAAAAAGCTTCATTCTAAAGGTTCTTCATCACAAAATGGCAAAAGCTAGAGAAAATCTTCATAAGTTTTATAGTCATATGAAATCCAAATTGCAGGCTGTGGCTAACAGCTTCCAGGAGTGTCATTACAGAAAGCCAATTTAAATCAGAGTTTAAAAGTTGGCAAAGAGATTCCAATTTATTTAGTAGCAATTGACCATAGCCTACACTTTGGGAACCTATAGGATACTATAATCAATAGAGTCTTTTTTCCCATTTACATAACAAGGGAGAATGTTCCATGCACTGCCACAGATATCCTACTAGCATGCTTGTACCCACTTTCATTTATTAAGTCAGGCCTGAAACTTACTGTGACTTATAAAGATGGCCAGACTAAAAATCTGTATCATGAACAAATTAGGCCACCCTTTATTTTATACAATCATAAGTTTCTGTAATCCAGTATAATATGACTAATACTGGAAGAACAAGATTAAAGTATTGGATTCCTGCAATAACCCATCAGGAAGTGCTAGCACTTTAAACCATGATCTAATCAGTTTCTTTTCAGTTGGGGGGGGGAGGTTTTACTGCAGAGTAAGAAATAAAATGTGGCTTTTGCCCTGGTAATATACCAGTCTGTGCCTGAAGCATTTTAGTTTGTGTGGCTCTATCAAGTAATTTTCAGTGCCTGCAATGAGTTACCTTGAAAAGTGTCCAGAAACTTCAATGGGTACAAAATTCAGGTGCCAGGTTGCTAACAGATTGCATGAGTTGGGGATCACATTATACCCCTATGGAGAGACCTTTCTATTTGATGAGTGCTTTCAAGGCACAATTCAAGATGCTGGCTTTAACCTCTGAAGTCCTCCGAAGCTTAGGACCTGACTAACTGACAGGTCTCCTATCTTGGTATGAATCTGTCCAGATTTCAGAGGCCATTCTGGGGGCATTGAAGGAGCAGTCTTTCCCTTCTATCACTCCCAATCTTTGGAATGCACTCCCTTAGGAGTTTCACTTAGCCTCCCACTCTCTCCCTTTTTAAGAAAGGAGGCTGAACCTTTCTGTTCAGCAATGTTTAAACTGGATTGAAGGTTTCAGCTCAATTCATTTCCTCTTTCAGCCATGTTGGCCCCTTAACAATAGAAAGACAGGGTACAAATTAAAGTAAATACAGTTGTTGGCTGGATGGCTCACAAGAATTATGGACCAACTCAAGATTCCGCCATTTCACCTACATTACAAAATGGTAACATGTTTGTTAAGCACCAAAGACTGAATCCAATGCTGAAGAATCCTAAATCTGCTCACATAACAGGATTTTCACTTCTGTTCCTCCTAGCAAGTCCTCACTGTACTCTCGAAGTCTACTCTGTAAAGTTTAGTAACAGCAAATTTATTTTATACAGCACATCCTGAGGATAAGAGTGTTTTAGGGAAGAGCAGAAATTGCCCCCTTCTTCCTCCATCAATGGAACCTGCTTTTCCACACCATTAGATTCTGCTCAGAGAAAGAAAACCAAGTTACTGTCCACTCCATTCTGGAAAACATAAAATTACTGCTTTGGAGCATAAAACAAGAAGTGAAATAATTATTTCTTGCAACAACATTGGATTCTGAACCAGTCAAGCACAAAAATAGACCAAGGATCAGCTGAAAATCCCAGGACTAGGCTGAGAAGTTAAAAAAAAATACAAAACAAAACCACTTGGAAGAAGGCAATCAGAAACCACTTCTGCACTGTTGCCAAGAAATCTACATGGACGCATCCACATAACCATTAGGCATCAAATTAGTTTGGGGCAGTCTCTACTTTGTTGGCTCAAACCAATATTCATTGGTGCAAACCCAGAAAATTAAAATGTCCAGGTATCTGGAAAAATGCCTTTAAAATAATTTCTAGGGCGTGTGCTCAAAATGTAGATGTACTTCTTTAGCTTTATTTTTAAAAAGCTGTACCACAGCAGAGAACATTTAACTGTACACTTATTATTTTGCCAGCTCCCACCTATCCTACAAGGTAGAATTCATGCCTTCTTATCCCCATATCACTAGACTGAAGCCGCCACAGTATTTGCTGTTTATTATGTTGGCCAACTCTTTAAAAACAATCTTAGGACAGCCTTGAAAGGGTCTTATTACACAAGAAAGTTAGGCTTATTTTGAGGTTTATTTTGCAGAGAGTGAAGATCAGCACATAGTTGCTAAAATGTAAGGTGACAAGGAAAGGAGGAGGCATATTAGGAACTGTCGCAGGATGCAAGTCTTCAGAAAAAGAAGTAGCTAAATTAAGATCAGGTGTTCAGGGGGTGTCACTGCCTGCATTTCAGCTGAAACTGCTTGCATCTGGGTTGGATTTGATAAGAGCATTCTCCCTTAATTTCTAAGTTACATACCTTCCTCCCCCAGCATAACCACAGACACATAGAGAAAAATTTATGATGAGGAAATAAAAGGAATTATCTTTGGACCACTTGGTTCCCAGAACTGAGCCCACAATTTGTTTAGGCCCACATCCTGCCACCCTAAATCTCAGGCCACAATGTAGCTGAAAGAGAAAAGGAAGAGAACAAGCACAAAAACAGCCACTTAAAAGGGCAAGACTGCCATTTTATTTGGTTGAATTGTATCCTGATACTCAGGCTCTGAAAGCCAGGTTGGTGCTGAAAGCACTGGGCTAGAAACCAAGAGACTGTGAGTGCCAGTCCTGCCTTAGTCATGAACCCAGCTGAGCAGCTTTGGACCAGCCACTCTCCCTCAGTCCTAGGGAGAAGGTAATGGCAACCCACTTCCAAAAATATGGCCAAGAAAACTGCATGGATCGGTCCAGTCACCAGGAATCAAGACTGACTTGAAAGCACACAAAAAGTAAGGCTGTCCCTTCAGATGTGAAGAAAAAGTTGTTGTTCAGAGCTTGCAAAGGCACACACTCAGCACCTTTCCACAATTCCTTAAAGCAGACATCCTTTTTCATGGATTGCACATCTGCTCTCTGCAGCTGCCACACAGCCCTGCACATGTTGCAGGCAGGTGCTACGTTCACACTCCTTTTTGCCTTCAAAACTGAAGCGTTGTACAGCCTTAATTAATATGGCTTTGGCTGGCCAAGTCACACCTTAAATACAGTTAGATATAAAATGAAATCCGCTTATAGGTTCCAAAAATTCCTTGTAATTACTTGCTGGTCAAAAAAATCTCATCACAGACATCTACTCTCCCCACTATTTTGTATTCCAGTCACAAAGATCATAAAAAGTCATTTTTAAAGGCAACGTTAACAGGAGAGTTTAATAATGCCTCTGGTTCTGCAAAGACAGCTCAATCAATGCCTATGATTTTGCCCTGTAGCACTTTACCCTCTTCTAGTCTAGTAGAGGTTCTGTGATGGACGACTGTGCCACTGAAATCCTAGCCAGGGTTAAAGAATGGATGCATCTTACATACCAGATCTCAACATTTGCTTGAAATATCCCACCTCATGGAGTACTGGGCCTCAGATGTTTGATTATTTAATGAGTCACTGAATAGTTTGGCTGTAGAAGCTAACTTCTGAAATATCACTGAATATTCAACCACATTCTGTATTAGCATCCCATCACAACTAAGCTACAAGCATAGGACGGGAGTTAATTCCACCAGCGACACTAATGCTGCAGCACAGGACTGCTAATGAATCTTAGATATTCTACCATCCCAATCATAAATTCATTACCAACGCCATACTTAGATTTCTTTTGGACAGCAAACTAATCAATTCAATGAGGGAAAGCTATTAAGTACTAGACCTAAGCACCAACTACTGTAAACACATCCTTCTCTTCTAACATTTATATCCTAAGTAAGTTTACACTGAATATTTATCAATAGTAATGAAAACCTTCTACTTTAATTAGGAAAGATCAAGCTGGATAGAGAACACATTTCAGGATGTACCAAACATTACTGAGGCAGAAAAATATTATTGCTTTTCCTCCTCGGAATACACAAAATGTAGGCATTTTGCAGACCTGATGCTAGTAATAAGAGGCTATATACCTTTTAAGGAAGAAAGCAGGACAAAAAAAATCTGCATGGGAATCCTGAAGTTTAACTTTTGGTGCTAAATTCTGTAAATAGAAGCCAACTAGTATCAGGAATCTGAAAGCATATAACCAGGGCTGTTATTTGGGAACTTTTCCATTGTACCAGCTTTCTCCTCCTCCTCATTCCCCCCCCCCGCCTTAATTTCAGGGCAACCTTCTGGGAAGTTTCTTACTTGTAGAACAGAGAGGCTTGTTTGCCCTGAAAGACTGAGTTTCTCTTGCTCCGAAGGGTATGCGTTGAACCGGTGTTCGTACAGCCATTCCCGCAGAATCTTGACAGACTCTTTGGGGAGATTGCCCCTTCGTTTCCTCTTGCCAGGCTGGGATGGGTCCTGAGAAATGCTCCCATCATCTTCCCCAAAGTCACTGTCAGACATTGTGGAACTGTTGGCAGATTTGTCTTGGTTCAAACCTGGAAGCAACAGAAGTGTATGTTACATGCAAAAATATGGCATCCTTGTGTGACCAGTTTCTGAAGGTGTAGGGAGCAATCCCATATTTTTTCTTGACAGCCTTGCATTCTAATAAAATAGGATGTAAAATCTCACATTAATGAGGTCAAGGAAGCCATCATGACTAGATCTATCCAATCACTCTCTATCAAACAGACAGAATGCTGTGTTCCTCAGTTTTGAAATGCTAAGAATCTCACCTTCTCTGTTATAAAGAACACTCTTAAGAGGCAGCGGCAGCAATTTCTTTGCTTAGAGATTAAAGTTTTACAGCAAGTTAATAACTTTTTTTTTCAAAATATGGCCCATTTCTTTTATAGCAAACTCTTGACCCAGCTAACCATCTCTCCACAGTGAGATGACTGGATCCTTTTATGGCATAGTCTTCAGGAAGAAGCATTTATCCCTCAGGAGTTTTTCCCCTCATTCTTCTGTGTGTATGTGCGTATGTATCACTGGAGTTGCTATATAAAACTAAAATGCATTCATTAAAACCTTTCAAGGAAAGACAAACAGCCCCACATGCACTGGAATTTTCAGCTACTCAGATGAAACAGAGCCCAAATACTAAGATATTATTAAAGTGCACGTTGCTTTGGGAGGGTGCTGAAGACTGAACACATCCTGTTCTTAAAGTTTCTTCCCTTAAGTACAGATTGTTACATTTACCAGCATTCTCCACCACTTCAAAAGGGAAAAAAAGGGAGGGAAGGACAGAGAGAACCTATGTTGGGGGGGGGGAGGAATGGTCCGCAGAAACAATCGACTTTCAGTTTGCTCAAGGCTAGCTTACTGCCCTTTTCCAGACATGTGGTCGAGTTTGTTTGGAGGAAGGCATTCAAAGATCAACACGTAGGGATCCAGCCCCAGCAAGCGGGCATACAAACAGCAGGCAAATTCAAGTCCATTGAAATGCAAACTCGATTCCCTCTCGTTCTTCCTCTCTCTCTCTCTGCGCCCCCCCCCCCCCCCC